GGGGGGTGAGAGGGGAAAAGTCCTCTAAAAATATCTAAGACCTGAATGACTGTATGATAGAGAGAGAGGGAGAGAGAGAGACAGACAGACAGACAGTTAGATGGACTGAGTGGGTGAGTGATTGAGACAGGCAGACAGGAGGTCTAATGATCTTTCCTTGAATATCATGTGTGGATGTGTGTGTAGAGAGAGAGAGAGCGAGAGAGACTCTGATCTGTGTGTGCGGCTTTTATTTTAAAATGGGGGGGGTCTCCAAGACCTGAATGACTGTATGAGAGAGAGACACACACAGAGAGAGAGAGAGACACACAGAGAGAGAGAGAGAGAGAGACACACAGAGAGAGAGAGACAGAGGGAGAGGAGTGTATGTGTGTGTGTGTCTCAGTGTCTCTGTGTGTTTATCAACATCACTAATGAGCTCATATAAACACCTGTGTGCTTGGGTGCATGTTGGTGATTGGAGCACCTGTGTGTTAGAGGCTAATTAAGAGAGAGTGAACAGTGATTTCCAACAAAACTACCTGTCAAACATATGCCCTCTATACCAAAACCATGAGACTAATCAATAAAATATGGATACCGTGAGAGAGATAAGACTCTGGCAAACGTGGAGATGTGTTTTTTATGTTTGTGGTGTTAAAAATGTGAGCTCTAGAGCAATATGCAAAACTGGTACCGTCTGCTTTCTTTGAGAAATGAGTGGTCAGATTTAACATGGAGTCTAATGAAGCAGTTTGTTGGAGTTCATGTCGCTCTGCGGCTCTTTGAGTCAAATGTGTAAATCTGTTGGATTCCACAGACACTTTACTGCGACCAGCACAACATTTCCAAACGTTTTGGCCAAAAAATGGGGTATAAAGAGTAAACATTGTGGGAGCTAGAGCAATTTATTTGGAAAAATCACAGAATATTTTCCTGCTCCGCTCCACTCTGACAGTTATGTTCTCACTCTAGCGCTTAACGAGCCGTGCAATACACACCCATTATAAAATCTGAAACAGACCCAAAATTTTCCTGAAACTTAATCTGCGACTTCATGAAAACTGTGCTAGCTATCAAAATGTCCATTTGGCTCAATAAAGTGCAGCGTTTTGTCTACGTTTTAAACTTTGAATCATCTTTCTACGTTCAGGTACGGCTAGTCAATATGGGCCCAAAGTTAAGTGTTTTTTTTGCTCTCTTCACGTCGAAACCCCATTCAAGTCAATGGGGCGATTTTGCTCCGTTTTTTAGGATTTTCGGGAAAACCACTGGGCGAATCTCTCCGAAAAATACAAAGCACACTATTCCTGATAAGGCCGCACGTTTGAAGGTATTTTTCACACTGCTGTTGGCAACACTGTGTGAGGAGAAGCGCACCAAACTTTTCGATGAAGATTATTGGTATTATTATTATTATTAAGCCCGCAGGATTACAGTCAGTGTGGCTTTGTGGCACAAGGCAGTTTCACTGCCTTGTGCCACAAAGCCACACTGAATAACAATGTGTACGTTTACATAAGAAAAGTCATCAGTCTGCCACCTCTATGAAGCATTAATTATCAGCTCACAGTGATGTTTATATTTAGTCTTGATTTGATTCCACATGCTCCAGTGCCCACAGAGTTGCTCTCGAGTGGAGTTAAATAAGTGTTTGTGTTATATCCTCATCAGCTTTTAAGGGAATAAAAATATCAAAGATGCATCTGAGCACAGCTGTTCTTCACAGGAGGAACGGCATCCCAGCAGAGGGGCTTCCTGGGCTGCATCAGGACTCTGACCGTCAACGGCGTGAGCTTTGATCTGGAGGAGAGGGCCAAGATGACGCCGGGCGTGACCTCCGGATGTCCCGGCTACTGCAGCGGCTCCACCAGCCTCTGCCACAACAGAGGGAGGTGCATCGAGAAGAGCAACGGCTACGTGTGCGACTGCTCCCAGTCGGCCTACGGAGGGACCACCTGTAACCAAGGTGAGTCCTGATCGACAACAAAACGCTCCACGCTTAATGTAATTAAACGGGTTAATGTAGATTACAACAAATAAATAATCGATCATTGCCAAAGTTATTCCATTACGGCGCATCGATAAAAATGCAAGCGATGCAAGAGGCAATTAATACTTGTCCTGGCTCCAGACTCCGAGAACATTTAAAATGCATTAAACCAAATGATCTCCTACGAGCACAGACCCGACACAGCCGAGCCCCACCAGAGCAGCAGGCTGAGCTAACGGATCCTATATGTACAGAGATATAGTTCTGAAGACGCAGAGATGGAAATTCTGGCTGCAAATGTGACAGACCACACTGCACTATTTGCACTGTTTCCTCTCGCTCAGCGTGTCGATTATGAAAGCGGCACCCATGCCAGGATACAGTTAATCCGACTGCTGTTCAAAGATCTTTCTGCTTTATTACAACTTGGATCTCAGCTGCGTTGTTGTGGTGCCTATCAGATATGTCACCTGGAGGCTACGGACTCTTCCTCTGATCTGTGTCTCTCTGGGAGTTAAACCTTCAGGTGTAAAATGCAGCTCTTAGATAAATGCTTTCAGATGTATGATAACGTGATGGCTCTGAAGTTCTGACACAATGAAAGTGCTCCACTTTAACAGCAACGGTTTGATTAAATGAATGTTGCCTTTTTAAGTATGTTTTTTTTAGTGTCAATTTTATTTTCTGGCCTTTATTTAGTGTATAAATATATCAGTACGTTACCCAGCAATGATATGAAGCCGTTGCCTACAGATCAGTGGATGTGCAACCAGCAGAAACTGTGGTACTACCAGGAGGCAACCTCCAGTTCTGAATAATGAAGCTAATGCTGAAGTGCCTTAAAGCTGCATTCTCTCTAGTGTCCACCAGGGGGCGACTCCTCTGGTTGTATAGAAGTCTATGAGAAAATGACTCCTCTCTTGATTTATTACCTCAGTAAACATTGTAAACATGAGTTTATGGTCTCAATCTCTAGTTTCAAGTCTTCTTCAATACAGCATGATGTTCATTTAGTACATTATGGTCCATTTAGAGTCACACAGACCATAAAGCAGGGGATGCTTTAGGGCGGGACTACACTGTTCCAGGTCGTCACCACAGAGTTGTCCGTGTTTTCTTCTTACAACTTTAACCTTTTCACAGTGTGTTTTACTTCATGAAACAAAATGAACATCTTGGTTGCCTAAACATGTCTTGTTAAGCGTTGACTGAATCATCATATTTTCTTTGATACAGTTTGATAATGTGCTCTGACGTGTTCGCTTCATATTTGGAGAGGTGCGGTGCACATGATGAGCTCATCAACTCATCCATTTTATATCCCTCTACCAAGTGTGTGTTGCAGAAAGACAGCGAGATAACAGAAGTTTAATTTGAGTGGAAAAGACCACCGAACACAGTATCATGTTCTGCTGCAGCCTCGATCTCGTAGGTACTCAGTAAATATACAGTGAATGCCCAGAGAGTTCTCGTGTACCTGCATACACACACCGCTGCATCGCTGAAGAGATACATTGTTTTTGGACAGATTTTCATTTTACCCATTGGGCACAAACTACACTTTTTACCCCACTTTGGATTGAGTTGCGTTGGTTTTTCCTGCTCACACTTTTTTACATTTTGAGGTGTAATGAGCATTGCAGCATCTGGAGGCTGTGAGTTTGGTTTCAGTCTTTTAATCTGGATTGCAAAAACAGTTGTAACGGAGAGCTGCTGGCACTGAAACCCCTTCATTTCTGTCTTTCTCCGTGTGTCCTGCAGAGGTGTCGGTGTCCTTCGACACGGAGTCCTCGGTGACCTACACCTTCCAGGAGCCCTTCTCAGTGATGCAGAACAGACGCTCGCAGGCCTCCAGTGTTTCCACAGAGAGCAGCAGCAGGGCCAGAGAGGACATGGCCTTCAGTTTCGTCACCTCCCAGAGACCGGCCATGCTGCTCACTGTCAGCACCTTCAGCCAGCAATACATCGCTGTCATCCTGGCCAAGAACGGTACGTACGGGTCTCGCATTCATAGTATGAAAGAGAAGAAAAAAAGACACAGTAATAACTCATGGCCGTGACATATATAGTTATGTCCGCCAGGCGTAAGCCTGTGGGGAGATCATGCCTTCAATTGTGTGTGTGTGTGTGTGTCCAAGGCTAATCTCTCATATTACTAAACCCATGAGAATAATATTTTATATGCCCATTTATGACTTATGCATGCTCAAGGACCTCTCGTGGTTGCGGTGACTGTTTAATACCGACAGAGACTGCTGACTCGAGGGTCCACTAGTGATCAACAGCACCTCCAGTAGCAAGAAGGCATTTCTGGCAATTTGCTCAACTGAAAACAAGCCTTACCCAGTCGGGTGTTTGGCCTTTGTCACGGCTCAAAAACAGACATCAATTGAAAAGTTTGGTCTTGTTTTGAACCTGAGCATCTTCAGGTTAATTCCATACCCTTTATGTTATGATCCGCTAATGTTAGGCACGATACAAGATGAATATCTCCTCGACACACCTGTCAGAGGTCTGCACTCTGCTGAGTGCCCTTTTCTACTGAGGTACTGTATTTACATACTGTGAATGTCATCTGTAGCTTTCATCGCTGATGTGGAGAAAACAGTAACTTAGCCTACACAGCATCCAGATAAATTTAGCAACCGCGTTGTTGGCAAACACGTCTTCCATAGTGACATACACCAAAGCACCGCTGCGTACAGTAGCAGCTTGTGGTTTACATCGTATGGCTGCAAAGATTGGGATGCAAACATATTGTTTGACGTGTGAAGCCCTCAGATCTGCAGCTCTCAGTTGAAGTGACTGATTACCATGAGGACAGTGAGGTCACACCAGTGCTTTCTTTTTTCAGGGTTTTCTTTTTGGGATGAGCAGTCATGGACTATGTTTTTTATTTCCAGCTAAGTGGCTCAGTGATTAAACCAGCTGTCAAACTAGTCAAGTATTGTGAATTTGTATAACCCACTTGGCAATTAGTGGATTTGCTCACAGGGCTGAAGTAAATCAATCCAATTGTTTCGTCTTTTATTTTCTTACTGTGGAGTCAGGGCAAATATTTAAACTTTGGTGACCTTTGACAATTTGCATCGTCGACCGATAGCAAAGTGTTTTGACAGAGCTGATCTCTGAGGGAACAGAGAGCCGGAGGCTCCGAAATGGAGAACTCTACTGTAGGTCTGTCGCCAGCCTCCTCTGTCTGACTGTAAAACGGCTCCACATCAGAGTTATGATACGGGTAGATCGTACAAATATGTTTCTGGAATAACAAGTCAACGTTTAATATTCATTTATTTAACCTGACAAAGAAGCGGTGGGTTTTGTGTTGTTAGTTGCAACTCGACTGGAATGTCAAATAATGACAAACAGGTAGAGAGACGGGACCAAAGCAGCGCCGGCACGAGCTCAGTGTCTGATAATAACGGAAAATCCCCGCTCTCGCCAGCTGACACAATTGCGTTACCATGGTTACCTGTTCATTTTTTGCATAATTACACAGGAGATTGCTTCCTTTGACGGCGGGCCGGTCCACTTTACACTCGCACTACAGGCGAGATACGCCAGAGTTCACTTGCAGATCGCCAGTTTTTAGGGAGAAGAATCCACTTAAATGAATGAATCATAATCTCATTGCACTTCAGCAACCAGAGGAGTTATTTTATTTTATATTTTTAACCTCTGGCAAGGACTGATTGCAAGGACATGTGCAGATTTGCCTGTTAAAACATGTCGTGACACCTGGGATGTCTCAAGGGGCGGAGGGTCCACTTCATTAACACATTGGTGAATCTCAGGTTTGTTTTCATGGTGTTGAGCAGAAGGGAAAGTGAGGCTGACGGTGAACAGGCAGCTAATGCGTTTCTTACTGGTGCTGCAGTAGCCAGCGTGAACATAATACCGGAGCCGCCCCCACACAAACTGATTACGGGCTAATGAATTGATTTAGCCTCCGCTGCGTCTTTAATCATTGTGAGTCTTACAGTCCAATACGTTACACCGGTCCAGATGCACAGTGAAAGGTTGTTGTGTATCCAAAGGAAAAGATTCGTAACTAAGAAAGGTGCACTCAGTCGAGTGCAGATCTCTGCCAGGTGTGTCTCCTCCTTCCCTCCCCCAGACAAAGAAGAGTTGAATGTCCATCAGTCATCCTTCCCACCTCCCTTTAAGTCAAGACGGCAGCAAAGATAACAAAACATCATCTTTTATCGTGCCTTTAACTTTAGTGGATCATAACATATCTGCTATTGAATTAATCTGCCGATTGCCGGAGGTGTCTTTTGCTGCTGATGCAGCAGTTGAGGAGCGAGAAGTCAGCAGTCAGTGACGGTATATAACAGTAAATAAAAGAGCTTTTTTGAGCAAACATCATCATCAAAAATGAGCAGAAAAACATTAGGCTGATGGGTCCAGCAGTATGTGAGATTAGCCGTAGACAGAAAGAGCATGCACGCACGCTCTCACACGACTGAACTCGTGATCTCATAGCTTACACCTAGCAGAGATAAAAAGACTTCAGACTGCAAATAATAGAAAAACAGAACAAACACAAAAAGACCCGACTGCGATTGGACTAAACTGTTCCACTTTAAGTCTGGAGAAGATTTCAGAGAAAGGTCCTCGCTTGCTGCAGAGTATTTCCTGCTGTCAGCGCGGTATCTCCGCGTTGTCAGCTTCCGACACATGAAAGGCCTCAAAGCTTTAAACTGACAGCCTTTAAGCTGCATCCAAACTTTAGAGCATCCTATTGAGTGACAGAGCAGTTGTTAGTCGGAGTCAGTGTCAGTGTCCTATAAGTCACTCTTTTGTGGTAGAACAGAACTCCCATGTTCCTCGGGTCTCTGTAAACACTGAAGGGCAGAAGGAGACACTTCATCCGCGGTGACCTTCGTCTACAGGAGCACTCTCAGGATTTGAAATGAATCACCACGCAGAGCCCTTCACCTACAAACCGGGAATTGTAATATTGACCCGGCTCCACTTGACAATGCATAGCTATCTGACTCTTTGATCTGCCAGAGATTGTGTGTGTGGGAGGAACACTGAGCACATATTGACTTCTTTTTTTCTGTGTGGGAGACAAGAGCTCAGAGATAAATATTTGTATATCTCAAAAGGCAATTGAAGAAGTTTAGATATAGCGGTCTATTTATATGTGAGCAGCCACATCATTTCGGTAAATCAGTGTATTCTCTTCTGCTATGAGGCATCATAAGGAGAAGCTCGCATACTTGAAGCCCTGAAGTCATGTCAGTGGACTGGACTTGAGTCTGTGGTGTTTAAATTTGCATTGAGCTCAGTTATAATGTCTCCTGCACCCCTATGGAAACAAGATAACCATGGCTAGAAGTAAAGAGAAATCAAAAATGTCTTTTGTGCCATAAATTATAAAAAAGAAACAAATGCAAGTTGAATTTCCTTGATTATTTACTTCACAACTACATATGTAGCTGAACTACATACGCCCATATTCACCCGCTCTCAGGTCGAACGTGTTAGGTCTTCTGTCTGTCCCACGCACTCGCCTTAAGACGCGTGGTGACCGAGCTCTTGAGGCAGTAGCACCGAGGCTGTGGGATGTTCTGCCACATTTCTCCAAGTGCTCAAAAGTGTTGGAAAAGGAGGCTCTATGTAGTAGATATATTGAGCTAGCCTCTCCTCTCCTCTCCACTCTGTGTTCAGCAGCCTGGAGTTCAGTCAAAGTTTCATGGAATTGTTGTCGCGTGACTGTTGGTCTCAGGAGAATCAATCATGGCTTCCTAGTTGCACTGACGAGCGCATCATTTAATGCTTTTTACAGGATCTGGTTGAAGCAAACGGTTTATTCAGGGAGAGATTATCAATGAGACACGTAGAATAAAGTGTTTTTGATGAAATATCACAATTTGAAGCTTTGTTTTGGTGGCTTTTCTTGCTGGAAGCATCCATTGCACATGAAGGACATTAGGAAAGACAAGAATCTGACGATCATTGTGTTTTTTACAGCTTCTGGCTCGGATGAACAGTGTAGTGCTGGCGGTTGTTTAAAGGAAAACATGCTTTTCCATCCCGCCAGTGGGGTTTTGGGGATCAGAGGAAAGCTTACATGTCTTCACATGCTTTGTTTCCAGGGAGTCTGCAGATCTGGTATCACCTTCAGACCGACAGGAGTCCAGATGTGTTCAGCCCCGTCCTCACCAACCTGGCAGACGGACGACTCCATCGGATCAGAATCCACCGAGTGGGAAAAAACCTCTATGTACAGGTGAGCGGTGTGAACGCCTCGAATGGTCACGGTGGGAAACTTCTTCCACCTAGTGATACTTGTTTGTTACCTCGCGATACGTTTTGCATTCCCTCTTACCCATGGAAAGAAGCACAGCCCTACTCTTAGCCTCATCGAACTTCATCACACGTCAGTAAGTGACTAGAGTTGAATTTTCTACCTGCTGTCTAAACGCATAACAATAGAGAAATGGTGTTGAAATGAATCTCCCACTGTAATAAAAATCCATTCTTCTCCGTGTGATCAGCAGGCTTATTACATGCAGCACTGTCTGCAATTTTATAAACGGAGGTGGACGCAATCAAAATCACTGCAGTGTTTTATTGCAGATCATCAAGTTAAGTGATGCAACTGAGTCAGCATAGGGGGGGTGGGGGTGCAGAAGCGAGCGGTCTAAATGGCTTCAAAGCTAACTGTGGGTGGATATGGGTGTCATGAAGCTGTAGAAGAAGACAAGGCTCAATCCATATTGTATTGCTGCTGCTGCTGGTGTTACCTCGGTTTAGATTTCTCGTAATTGCCTTGTTATTTGATTTCTCTCCGCTCGACCAGATCGACCAGGACATCCACAGAAAGTACACACTGTCATCTGATGCAGAGCTGATCTTAATCAGGTCCCTGACATTGGGCAAAGTCACCAGTAAGTCCCTCCCACCATGTTCACAAAACTGCTCACGTCATCACCAATTTTGATCCGTTAATTACTGTTAATCCCACCCGACCCCCATCTCTGCAGGGAGGGAGAACCTCGACGAGGAAGTGACGCAAGCGGCTTCCAAAGGTTTCATCGGCTGCCTCTCCTCGGTCCAGTTCAATCACGTCGCACCGCTGAAGGCGGCGCTGACGAACCGCGGGAGCTCGCTTGTGACCATCCGTGGTCCGCTGGTGCAATCGAACTGTGGAGCGCTGGCGGAGTCCACCTCGCACACGCTGCAAGGTGAAACACTCACACGCGCGCTGCCGCTGTTTAGCTCGCCCACACACACACACACACTTCATGATCGTTGAAAGGTCACTTGAATAAAAGCGATATGGAGCCAGAGTGTGCTGCACTTTTTGTTTCTAGTTTTTCTTCAGGCCTGCAAGTGAGATGGAAAAAGGTGAAACTAATCAATTATTTGTTGACAAAATCTTTCCAGTTATTTATTCAGCAAAAATGTTCTCGTTTCAGCTTCTTAAATGTTGGGATTTGCTGCTTTTCTTTATGCCGTTCTACATGACCTATCTGATGAGTGACTGACAAAACAAGTTATTTGAAGGGAAAGAAACAATTGAAACATTAATCAACAATAAAAAAAAAAGAGAATTGCAGCCCGAATGTCTCGTTGGGAATATTATAGACTTTATTAGATGGTACAAGGGATGCACTAGCACTGTGGTGGCTAGCGCTGTCCCTGCACAGCAAGAGGGGCCTAGGGTTCAAATCCCAGGCTGGACGGTCCTGTGTGCAGTTTGCATGTCCTCCTTTGCATGAACGTGACCATGAATGGTTGTCTGTCTTTATCTCCTGCGATAGTCAGGCAACCTGCCCAATGTCAGCTGGGATCAGCCCCCCCCCCTCCAACCCGGAACAGGATAAGCGGTTAAAAGATAATGCGGTTTATTGATAATGCAGGATGGACAGGATTAGGGATGGATCGGATGTAAACTGGGGCCACTGCTGAGGACTCAGCCTGAGCACATGGGGCGCCCCCTCTACCTAGATTTCATGCCCTCGTTGTTTTGTTGCTGTTTCGCTATTTGTCTCTGTCTTGCCACTTCTCTCTGCTCTGCTGTGAAACTATCTCATCACTTTGGAAAAGGTGGACCTCTTTTGAGCAGGTTGTAGCTTAAAACAGCATGCGGTACCATGATGATCAATCCTGGTTATAAGTGACCTGGTTTTGTAAACCAGAAGCCTCAACAAAATGGCTGCTAACCCACTAACTGGTCTTTGTGTCGCACGCCCCAGGCTTTCTGAGAATGAACAAATCAACTGGGAGCAGAACTAGCAGTCTAATCTGCTTCCTGTTGAGCTGTCACACTTTTTAAAAGTAACTTGTAACTTGTGAATTGAATGACAGTCTCTTTAAAACCAGACACATTCCAGCTGTGTTTTTCGGTCGTCTGTCTGGCAGAACACATGCATTTACCAAAGGAGCTGTCTTACCAGCGACACAAATGTCTTCTTAGTCCTCAAATCTTTGTTTTTTTGGTGTGCAGCAAACAGCAACAGACGTTTTGACATAAAAACGTAGTTAGCAGCGACGCCGACAGGATGGACAGGCTCTGGGCTTTGCTTACATCTGACCACACTGCCACATCATATAAATAAATATATATACCGTAAAACATGAACACAGTTCAGTTGCCGTCCTAATTGTCCCGTCTGTTCGAGGCACCAGATTGAGCTGGCGGATGCACAGATGAGATTTTCTCATTCAGAGCGTAATGAAAGAATGTGCTTTAGGCAGCTACGTGGAAGGGCTCATCTCCTGGAGCTATAACATGAAACAGCGCCGCGCTTCAGGCCTTATTCGCCACCACGATGCCTTCAGTGTGACGCTTTGACACAGGTCGGCCAACCCTTCTTCATCAAAACCCCCTCCTACCGACTGCCATGTTGCTCAGATTTGCAAGTTACTTAACCAACCAGAGAGACATAGGGGAATGCAAACGTTTAAGGACAGAAGTGAAATGCATAACTGTGGTATTTTTCATTTTCCTTTGTGCCTAAGTGACTAATGAGGACAGCTATTGTTGAAACGGGTCCAGTATTGAGGGACAGCAGCCGCTAAACGGGCTCGGGGCAACTCCTCACCGTCAATGTCCACTAAAAGTGCTCATTGTTGCCAAAGAGGAGAGAGCGTTTAATCAGACTTTTAATTTTTGTGCTTCAACCATCTATGATGTATATATTATCCAGGACGTGTAGTGAATGGAGCTGCTGCTGCTGCACACAGCTGCCAAAGCACGACCAAGACATCAGCTGAGTGTCTCTCTCCGATGTCTCATTCATCCAGTTATTTGTCTGATTATTTATTTTGTATGCTTTAAGAATTACATCCATGCAGGTCTCAAGACCATCGTAGAGTCAACCGTGGTGTCTGTACTCGACTGTAGTGTTGTTGTAAGCCCTCCACCGTCAATTTACGGTGTTTGTTTCTGCCGCTGACTGGCTCAGACTGTTATTCTAAGTGTCTTGACAACATCATGGAAAGGGCCCTAAAGAGAAATAAAACCTTTTTCTTTACCTTTCTCTCGATCCCGTCTGTTTGTTATTTTGTGTCTCGTCTTGGAAAAGCCTCGTTGTGAAATCTTGAGTCGCATCCACATATGTTGAAATCATCAAAATATTCAGCCATGACACAAAGCTACACTTTCTGTACTCCAACGAACACAGACACTCCTCTCACCATTCCACGGCTGCGTAACAAACAGAAAACCAAAGGTAAAGACAAATGTTTTATTCCTCTGTGGGGTTCTTCCCATAACGTCGTCAGACACTTACAGTTATAATAACAATCTGAGCCAGTCAGTGGCAGAAACAAACACCTTCAGTGGTCGTACGTTGACGGTGAGGAGTTGCCCCCCAGAGATTACATTACAGCTCGTTTAGCAGCTGCCGTCTGCAGCGTTCCCCCTCAAACACTTAGACGCAGAAACATGGGGAAACAGGGGCCAGTTTGAAAAGCACCTTTCATTTGATTATTATGTAACATAATTCAGTGTTATTCTGGAGCTTGGCAGTGGAGTGTCAGCCAGACAACCAGAGATCTCACTGGCAGACATTCGCCTCCTGTATGACGGGACATTAATGTCTGTTCATGTGTCTGTTTCTGCTCCTCCAGATCAAACTGTAACAGCAAACAAAGACAAGGAGCAGCACGGCAGCAGCACCCAGAAGGATTTGGCTGTGATAGCAGGTCTGTTCTCTCACTTCTCTGCTGGTTTATTTTGCTTTGCTTAATTGAAAATGAGTCCCAACTGTTTGTTATTTGTCATTCCCTCTATTTGCATCTTCGTTCTTCTTTTTGTTTTCCTGGTCTCTTGATAACTCAGCTTTAGATCGGGCTCATTGTCATCACTGCCAGTCACGCAGCTCTGTTTGAAATTGAATTGACATCGATGATGGAGAAGATGATGATGATGATGATGTTTAAGGATTTCTAAACAGGGAAACATTGCTTTGTATTTGTTCGTCTCCTTTCACTTTGTGGTTGAGAAATGCCCCGAGCTGACCTGCAGGATCAGTACGAGAGCAATGACATCATTGAAAGGAATAGTTGAACATGTTGCTGAAATACACTTTAGATCTAACAACACGGTTAGATGTAGGATGAAGGGATGAATGCGTTCAGGGGGAGTTGGTGGATAACGAATGAACTGGTGTTTACACAGAATGTTATTACAGGAGCCTAAGAGCCTGCAACACAGTAAATAACTTTGAATTCAGCTTGTTGGGGGATGCTGCTTTAAGAACTTCTCAATCAGTGTTGTGATATTGTGACGAGATACAGACATAGGATGGGGTTTTATCATATTTTCTTCTTCTTTATTTCAGCGACGGTAGGCTACAACCCTCAGGTGACACCACGTTAACAGCAATCGCTATTTCTTCCTCCATTCCTCGAATTCAGCAGCACCTTTAGTTCTGCTGTTAGGAATTATAGACTTTCCTTTATGTCCGAAAGCAGGACTTCAATATAGGACACGCGTCGTATATATTGTCTTATAGGTCTTATAGTCTTATATGGTATTATTGGGGTGTTAATTCTGCCAGTTTACTATTCTTATGAACGCACGTTCATTCACGCACAGGTGGCGTTCATCATGTTCACGCTGATCGTTTACATTTAGTTACCTGAAGTTCGGAGCGTTTGCTAAATCTGACCACTCGAGGCCACCGTATGGAAACAAAGTAAGAGAAAGTTAGGATAAGAATTGGTAAATGTTCTTGCATGAGCTAGTGGTTATAATAAATTGTGCCACAAGGACCCATTTTTGTGTCTTGGCAACTGTAAAAAATGCTTTAACCTCCACAACAACCGAGTCAAAGCAAATGGACAGTGACCGCTTTAGATGCGGATCACAAGAAGCGTAATGTGGACAGAGCAGCGTTGTCCCCTGGTGTCCCCCTAATGCGTCTGTCCTGCTGTGTTCTCAGGTGTGGTCACAGCGGTGGTCTTCATCGCCGTGTGCGCTCTGGCTGTGGTAAGCCGCCTCCTCTATCAGCAGCGGCGGGCCCAGAGGAGCGGCAGCATCAAAGAGGAGAACAGACCCAGCATGTACACGGACTACAGGACAGAGCTGCACCTCCACAACTCAGTCAGGGAGAACGTGAAGGAGTACTACATCTGACTGCGTCCTGCACTCTGTGGACCGAACAGCCACGAACTTACCTCTCTCGTATAAAGGACTAACAGGTGGACGCGCTGCTGCAGGAATTTTTTTTTTTTTTATTATTATTTTTTTTTACGAGAAAACATCCACGTGACCTGGAAATGTCTCCCAGGAACACTGCAAAAAAAAAAAAAAAAGCCTGCAGCCTGTAGTCCACTCTCGTAACGCTCCGGTTCAAGCGAGTGGCTGAGTCTTTACAGCTGTTAGTGTATTTGATGTTGGTGAAACTGTCAGAATCAAGCTGCTGTGTCGTCGCAAAAATGTGTAAAGCAAAAGGTGAATGTCCTGGAGAGGGGGTGGACGAAGAGGGGTCACCGCGAGGTGCAGTGAGCGAAAGCTGCTGTCCATCCTGAATGCGCACAACTTAAAATATTTAGTTTGAAACCCCTCAACTGCGGGATACGTCCGCATCGCAGCGGGACTCACTAAACTGTACCTTGCGAGTCAGGAGATGTAGGCCAGGCCTGTAAGATATGCGTGCACTCGCTGCTGTCTTTGTTTTTTTCCAGTGGTGGTGAATGTTCTAGAAGAAGAAAAGGGGGACAACACTGCCTATACTGTATGAGTGCCTAATTTGCATACAAGTTTTTATTTGAACATTTTAGAAGTTATTCATGTGATTTGCACAAAAGCAATCGCATTTACATAGAGAGGAGCTTATTGTCATTCAGTTCTGCAAAAACCCCATTCTGCATAGAATAAAAAAGGAGATTTGAGTTCCCCTCTCATGCACAACGTCGGCCAGCTGACCATCAGTGATGTTCCTTTCACCGCCTGTTTGAAGTAGCAGAGAAATTGACAAACCGAAATCCTCTAATCGTCTGTCAACTGGATGCGAACCAGATCCGTAACTCAACACTTTCAAGTGTTTCAGGTTTTCAAGTCTTGTCCCAAAAGTAAGCACTGCACACCACTCAGACCGCGTGCATTTTGTCGGGATTTCTAGCGGAAAACTTTTGAATTTTATTTAATTGTGCAAATTCTTAAATTATTATCTTAAAGGTGCAATGTGTGAGATCCGGCCACCTGCTCCAATAAAATAGAGGGAAGCATTTCACCTTCACTGCTGGGTTCATACAATCTAAATGTGCAGTCATCATATATTAAAATAAAGCCAACTTCTGACAAACAGCACGGCAAAAGTACCTGCATCTTAAAGTAACACTGCTATCTTATAATCTTCACTGTGCGGCCCGTGTACACTTTGATGCTTTGTGTATTAAAATGAAAAACGAATGAGAAAACAAGCGGTTAGCTGTAGCAACTAGCATTTAGCCGCCACAAAACCCCAGTACGGGGAGTCACATCAGGCTGGCTCGGGGTCTAATCTGTGTAACACGTCAACAGAAAGGCCCCTGATCAGGGGGAGAGTTGGGGCAGATCCCTGGGATCAGTGCACTGCTGCTACATTTAAGCTAACTGCTATCTGGAGGTCGCTAACTGGGGGACGAGGGACGAGGCAAGGATGCAAGTCAAAGCTAAATTTTGGCCAGATCTTACACGTTGCACCTTTTAAAGTATGTACGATTTCAAAGGCAATTATGTACATTGAATCACGAAGGTAGCAGAAATGGGATAACTAATGGAGAGGATGATCACATTTACATATATACAAAGCAGTCACATAAGCAGTAAGGGTTGTAAACATCGACCGAACAGTCAGGAATCTCGCCAAACTTTGCAGGCAGCCAGTAATAACATCTACAGGAACAAAACCTGCATCTACTGGTACTGGTATTAAATCTGGCAAAGCGTGAAGCTCTCAAGCGGTATCTTTGGTGTTCTTTGACAAACGGGCAGCAGTGTGGTACGTACAGGAAGCGTTGACCTCGGCAAGTACTTATGGGAGACTGGTTAAACCAGCCGTGCGAGTCAAGTTTGCAGTAGTATGAAAACAGCTCGCACAGCTACACTTATCTCCAGGGTTGCGACCTGCTCTACGACACTTTGTCACAGTACTTGAGTGAGTTTGTACCGCTGTTTGAAGTTGCAATGCTTGTATCTCAGCCCCCAGCTCGGCGATATGACGGGCCAAACTGAAACTGTACGCCAAACTGATGCAAAAGTTTAGTGTGTCTGTTATTTTGCAGCGCTGGCCAGCAGTGCTTAGAGCTTTTTGCAACCAAGAAAAAAAGGCCACATAATATGTTTCTTTATTATCTGGATTACAGGGATAAGTGATGTTTTCTATATACTTCTAGCTGACTACTTTTTATATACATCTTACACTGGTTGATCCTGAGAAAGAAAAAAAAAGAAATCCATAAACACACAAACGAGGCAAAACGTCTAGAGCCTTCCTAGTGGTCCTGTAATGCACATTAAACATCAGAGAACAAAAAGCATGGATGAAGAGTGGAGACGTTCCTTTTTGTTTCTTTTTTAGATCTTTACCACTTGTGAGGCTAGAAACACTAAGTTTGACCTGCAGGTGGTGCGAGAGGGAAAGCGATGTTACCTAGATTTGTAAATCAGCTTGTTGGGCTCAGCTCAACAGATTTAGCTCATTGTCCACTGGCTTCAGCTGCTCCAACGCAGGTTAGCTGTCCTTGTCGGTGTCAGTAGTAGTTTGAGCTGAACATGCTAAAAATAAGGGTTAAGCCCAAAGAACAGCTGAATCTGAGGCTGACGGGAATTGTATTTTTTCGTTGGGTATCCTGTCATGAATGAATGAAGTCATTACAATTCAACCACTTGGGATCATATATATCTGTACAAAAATTGAAGGCAAGCGATCCAACAATTGTGAAGATATTTCAGTCTGGTTTTCCGATTTTTGGACCAATGCAACGATGGACTGACGGATGAACATTATCGTCCTCTCTGAAGCTCCGCCTCTGTCTGGCTAAAGCTCACGTCACTGAAAGTGACGCGAGGTAGTGGCATGGTCAAAGGATCATCTGGGCCCCATCTGTGCATGTCCTTGTTATTCAAGTATGTCTCAACATGTGATCTCCAGTTATCAGTGAATGAATACATACCTCTCAGAGTGTCTTGGTTATATTGCAATGGGTTATATCACGTGGTTACTTCTTAATGATTTGTATAGCTGCAGTTTTATTAAGGATCTATTGTATAGATGTATAATTTAATAATAAAAGTGAATATATTGATTAATTCTCTGTTGTGAAATGGCTTGACTTCAACAGCTTTAAACAGGTTCATGTGTTGTAATTAAGATCATTTCAAGGTGCAAGACCCAAAATCTGGAGCATTTTGATTGCCTCTTAATGGCTGGTAGCTAACAGTGCTAACAGTGCTAACGGTGCTAACTAGGGCAAACGTGCTAACAGTGTTTACCTGAAGGGGGAACCGAAGGATGGGTGCTACGCTTCCGGGACCATGCAAATAGTAGTTTGAGCTCTATTAATGCTCCGAATGTACGGTGTTTAAAGGCGTTTACGTCTGTGTCTTTCTCCCTGTGGCAGCCCAGCAGTCATTTCAGTCCAAGTACAACATTGTTTGCCGGTGGGAAGCCGGTGAGGGATTTACATCCTTCCTGGGATCTGGAGAGGGATTGCATGAAGCTCCCATGTTGTGCCCCGCTGGCAGGTGAAAATATGTATCGCTTGTTTCATTTTTCTAAATATAGCTGCAAAAGGGTTGGGAAATAATGAATACATCTTGATACAAAGGTTGTAAATTGGCAACAGTTACTCCTTTTGAAGTCTAAACTTTCTCATTGTGCCGTTGTCAAGAAATTCAGAAATTTCAAATTTCATCAAAACAGATATACTGATAGACAATTATCCTAAGTAAGTGACCGAAATCATGTTGAAAAGGGCTTTCAGTGCAAAACAGTCAGACTCCACAACCGCTGACTTGAGGGCATTTAAAATTATAATGTTAAAAGTGAAATTACTTTTGATGGCTTGGAGTATAATTGAGTTGCAGTTGCACAGAATGGTCATGAATCATGGCAGTTGATGTGAAGTACACCATGCTTATGCTAATTTGGCAATTACATGGGAAACGGTATTGAATATTATAAAACTAATGAACTATTTTCAGTTGATCCAATCATATCCTGTACTCATTTTGATGAATATTGCCTTGCCTCGCATATCCATAAAATAAACTTCGGTGGACAGTTGCTGCATACAAAGATCAATGAAATAATGATCCATCCATTATCTTCTGCTTATCCTCAGCCTGCTAGTGGAAGCCGCAGAGTTTAGCAACGTATCCCAGATGTCCCTCTCCCCAAGATCCCTTTCCAGCTCTTCCTGGGGAACCCCGCGGCGTTCCCAGGCCAGACAAGATATATAATCCCTCCAGCGTGTTCTGGGTCTACCGAGCGGCCTCTTACCAGTTGGACTCGTCTGGAAAACCTCTAAAGGGAGGCGTCCAGGGGGATCCTGATCAGATGTTGAACCACCTCCACTGGACCCTGCGAAATAACCTTTAACCTTTCGCAGACCTTTTTCTTTACTTTCCTAACAGTCTACTTTTAAGCAGATGACACCAACATCCTTTAGAGTCAAGGTATAAAAGCCAGATGTAACTTTAGTGCTGCACTCTTGTTCTGTGGAGACGATTGATCTCTATATAATCTGAGCCCATGTGCAAATGCTATAATAAACTCTTGAAAGACAATTTAGATATCAATCTTATTTTCAGGTTTCCACCACACCTTTTTTTTGACGCAAAGGAGCAGCGTCTCTGCTCCGAGTTCCCTCCAGATGTCTGAGCTGCTCACCCTATCTCTAAGGCTGAGCCCAGACACCCTACAACATGCATTCTCTTTACTGACCAGCAGGGGGCGACTCCTCTGGTTGTATAGAAGTCTATGAGAAAATGACTCTACTTCTCTCTTGATTTATTACCTCAGTAAACATTGTAAACATGAGTTTATGGTCTCAATCTCTAGTTTCAAGTCTTCTTCAATACAGCATGATGTTCATTTAGTACATTATGGTCCATTTAGAGTCACACAGACCATAAAGCAGGAGATGCTTTAGGGTGGGGCTTACTGTGATTGACAGGTCGCTGCCGCTACCAGAGAAGTATACACCATCTCTATGTCACTCCTCCGCATTCGAAATATGGTTACTTCCTTTCATTGGCTACAAAAAAAAATAACATGGTGATGGCCGTAATCCAAGATGGGAACAGCGAAATAGCCGAAACTCAAGGCTTCCAAACGGCACCGATGGGTGACATCACGATGACTACGCCCACTTTTTATATACAGCCTATGCCCGACAGAGGAAGATCATTTCGGCCACTTGTATGCGCAATCTCATTCTTTCGACCACTACCCAAAGCTCATGACCATAGGTGAGGGTTGGAAAGTATATGGACTGGTAAATCAAAAGCTATCACTGCTGACACTCCACTCGCTCCATTTCACACTCACTCGTTAACAAGATCCAGAGATACTTAAACTGCCTTGCTTGGGGCAGTGACTCCCTCTCCACTGTTTTCCTGCAGAATGACATGATAATAATAATGAAGAAAGGCTGTTATACTTGGATCTGATGTCAGGAAATGTAATTTTACATGTAGAGGTACAGAAACACAAGCTCAACCTGACAGTAAAATCAGCTTTCACAAACAATGGTTTACACATACTTACTGTATCCTCTGCTAACAGAATGTCAGGAGTGTAACGCACAGAGGGACTTTGAAAAGCGCATGACAGAACCAGTTTGTAGCTTATGTATATGTGTTAATGTTGTACTCCTTATCAATTCAGAACTGCGTGAACAGGTATTTTCAAAGAAAACTAATTGGTATATGGTGTCACTTTGTTGTGTTTTGCAGGCCTGCTGGTGCCGTTGAGTTGTGCTCACAAACAAAAGCGAATACATTTTCACACTTCTTTTGCATTTAATGGCTTCTTTCTTTTCTCTCGATGTCGACCTACTTCTCCTGTACCTGTTTCCTTTCTCTTTTGTTCAGCATTATGTTTTAAATGACTGCAGATGTTTTCCTGTTCATAGACATGAGCACAGCTAGAACGATCAATCACTTTGCATTACGTTGGGTGTGCTGTGTTATAATATTGGTGCACTGAAAGGTTCAATCATCTGGTGCCATTCTGGCGTATTTACTAATTGAAGTGTGTTCACTTCTATCCTTCAAGGATCCTTCAACACTAGACACAAAGCTGCTTCCTTTGTGCACATTTTATACCAACATGGATGAGACGTCTCTGTGCGCCCGTCTAAACAGGTGTGTCTTGAGCTGATTCTGAAATGAATTCACAGAATCTGAGAAGCGTAGGGGTGCAGGCAGAGCATTCCACAGCCTTGGTGCTACTGTCTCAACAGCTCGGTCACCACGCGTCTTAAGGCGAGTGCGTTGGACGGACAGATAATTTAACATGTTTGACCTGAGAGGGCGGGCGGGTGAATAAGGGTGAAGTAGATCAGTCACATATGTAGGAGCCTGGCCGTGTCGTGCTCTGTGAGTGAGGGTGAGGATTTTGAAATGGATCCTAAATGCTACAGGGAGCCAGTGGAGAGATCGGAGTACGGGGGGGATGTGAGAGCGTCGATTTGTCCTGGTGAGTAATCTGGCGGCAGCATTTTGAATTACCTGCAAACGGTTAAGAGCAGATACACCGAGTGATGAGAAAAGTGTGTTGCAGTAGTCAATGCATGAAGAGATGAAGGCGTGTATGATCATCTCTAGTTCTAGTTGTTGAGACCACAGATCTCAGTTTGCTGATATTTCTTAGCTGGAAGAAACATGATCTGGACAGCTGACAATGGTTCTGAAATCTCGATATTTTGGCCTCCGCCATCTTGGCATTTTTGCAACCAGAAGTGACACAAGAAGGCGGAGCTACAACCGAATGCTGAATAAGACATTAGTTTGACCCTTAAAATATTGCTTCCTTTCTTTTCATTGATTTTCTGGGTCCAGACGAGTCTTTCCAATTTAAGCCACGCCCATTTCCGTGTAGATTTTTACACCATTTTGAATTATGTTCAAACTTTTTTTTTTTTTGTTATTCCTCGTACAAATGTTGAGCAACTGTCACAACAGACCATCTCTGGACCAAATAAATTGTCATTTTGGGGATTTTTCATTTTCATTACAATGTTTCCTTAGCTGGCCATCGTAATATAGTTCAAATGCCAAAAATGAAGTCTGAGTGACCATGACACACTTACATTTTCTAACTATATAAAGTAAGGCTTCTCTGTCTGTCTGTCCGTGTATGTATGGATGACTGCCCTTCACATATCTCAAAAAGCGATCATGCAATCAGCCTCACACTTGGCTGCTGGCAGCAACATCACAGCTCTCGACAGCGCTGCATGCAGCACTTCTTGGCGGAAATAGATTTTCTCCTCAACAGATGAAGACTAACTTACTGGCCCACCGCTGCATTGCTTTTTGTTTTCATTTTCTCGGCAAATCATTGCCTCACCACCACGTGAGTTTCGCCGTCATTTGGATAAAGATTCAAATGTTCAACTAAATCATCACGAATCTGTTTTGTAGATGTACAAACATGAGAGAAAAGAAGAGAGAGACTGCAGGGAATTTACACAACGAACTGGGGATTCTGGTGGTTTTCGACATCTTTGGCAACTGAGCAAACTGATGTGCAATCTGCTGATGTGGATACTCGAAAGCTCCGGAACAAGCGAGTAAGTGGACCTTGAGTTGAGATCGTTTTGTCAGCTAAACTTTAGTACTCCAAATTAAATGACAAAATACGTCTCTGTAGAATAGAACAGCAGCGTTATCTGATGTGATTTTGGTTCGTTGGATTAAGTGCGCTGCAGCGTCCCACATGACAAAACTCTGAAATTAATTTAACTATGCAAACTTTGCATGTGCATTCCTACCACATCACTAATTATTCATAACAGTTTGTCAGAGCTGCAAAATGCAAAACTATGCACATCACAGAATTTTTTTCCCGATATTTATCAATCCAATGTCTTGATGCTCAGCTCCGAGCCCTCAAGACAAGTTGAGCCTTCAAATCTCACGGCAGAGCAGTCAAAGACAACATCTTCACAACCCGAGCCGGTCTCCAGCCGCTGATATTCTTAAGTCATGGGGACAAACTGTAGCCCATGCACAACATATACAGTATGTAACATGCATAATATAGTTAACTTTACCTTTGTCAGAGCTTTCTGACAAC